GAAGCTGTTATTGCTGCCAAAGGAGCTGCAACCAAGTACTGACTGTGACTTAGTAACTTAGTGTGAATACTTTTGCAACCCACTGTAAGTTATTAAAAAAAGGCTTTTTTTCCAAAGCAGAACAGAAACATTCGTTGATGCTCCCAGCAGCCTTCCACATGATGTGAATAATCTGAAAATACTGATAAAACTAAAAACTCATCTATTCAGTCTGGCTTTTATGCAGTGTTTTATAATTTTATGGTTTTAGTATTTATACTTATTCTATTGTTATGATCCATATTATTTTTTAATTCTATTTCATTTAGTTAATGTTCTTCAGTTTTAGTCTAATCAATTGATTTTAAACTGTAATATTTCACAATCATGCTTTCATCACTTGTTTTAGCTTTCATTTATCTTTAACTACCCATTCTTATGTTGTCATATTTAACCATTTTTGTGTGCAATTGTCTCTCAATTTAATCAAACATCCAGTGTTTTGTCAGCTGCTTGTTAAGCAACTTGAACTGCATTTGATTTGTTTAAAGAGTGCCACATAAATAAAGATTGTTTGATTGATTCATTGATTGATTTTTTTTTTCTTCAAAAGAGCAGCTGCAGTGAGTAGTTTTACTGCAGGATGGGCCAATATATTAAGATGCATTTAAATCAGTACCCAAAAGTTGCTCTGCACAGCAGTTTGGGACAATAAACCGCAGAAAAACACAAAAACAACACAATCACACAATCACGTACAAAGAACGTTACAGGAAAATCTGTGTTTGTTTCATTGAGAAACAGATTTTTTTTTTTTTCATTAAAATTTGGTTCAATTGAAAGTTGTGGATAAATAACCAAATCAAATAACCAAAAGTGAGACTTTACCCCTGGGAGGCTCTTTGTTGTGTGTCGGACTTTGGTTAATCATTTCTTACCGGGACACCCGGAACTATTTACCGTCCACCGTTGGAAAGCAGTAAAGGTGAGCAGCGCGAGACGTTAATAACAGCAGGTAAAAAATAAAATAAAATAAACTACACGGAATAACTGTGTTTTTTAGTTTCATATTCTGTGTCTACAGAGCCTCCAGTTGGCCTCCAGTCCAGTTAGTTCCCCGTTAAGCTGAGAGTCGGCAGGTTCCTCAGCGTCTCACCAAGCAGCAGGTTGTAGGTTAGCTTCAGTCGAGCTACCACCATTAGCATCGCTGCTAATCAGTCCTCACTGACAGAATACCGCCGTATGTGAAGTCACGTCACCTGTAGTGAGGCTTAGCCCCCACTGACAACACCAAAAGTTGTTGTGTCACCGTTGAAACACAGGACAAACAACAAACGCCGAAGCCTAGCTAACCTGAAACACACACAAAACCTGGAAAACGAGTAAGTGGCTAACCGGAAAGTGGTTGTTTAGGATGTAATTTAAATGAAAGTTGCTTTACTCTTTTAAGAAACACTACAAATAAATAGTCTAATTATAAATAGGGTCCCCGTCGTGACCACAAGATGTCGTCAGTTATCGTTTCAGGTCCTTTGTTGGATGGTAGTGGGCTTTGAAATAATTTTACTGGTCTGAGGAAATCAAAAGTAACGGCTTTAAAGGTATGTTCATCATATATTTTGGCAGTACAAATTAAGCCTTTGTCATTTCTTCCAATTACAAACACCTTTTCCTGTTTAAAAGTATAGAATTGGTTTCAAAACTTTAGCCTTTTAATGTTACATTGCTAATGTACACGACCATCTAATATAGTAAGCTAATAGCTAACTAGCAGTAAAATGTATCATTATCTGGCTAAAAGGCTAATAAGCTAACCTGATGTTAAGCTAACAACAGTATGCTACATTAGCTTGCTGTAGCTACCTAACTTGAAATCTTAATGTAGGCTAAACCTCCCTAGTGATTCGTGATTTTACATCATTTTTATGTCAGGAATTTAAAGATATGTTAACTTACAGGAAAGCTATAGTGTCTCAAATTGTGGTTTATGTTTTGTAGACCTGTTAATCCAAATTGAATGGCTAAAATCATTGATTTAAACAATCAAAATAATCTCTATGTTTTATCTAGCATTGATGTAACAGTGAAAGTAAAAGCAACATTTAAAAAAAAAGTGAAAACAAAGTTCCTCTTATGCATAAGTACCAAGTTTGTTTTGCTCAAAAAGACACGCCATTAGGGCTTATTCCTTTAGCGCTTCAAGATTTTCCATTTACTTTTATTAGTTTTAGTTTGTCATGATTTAATTACCCTCTAAATTTGTTCACTTAGACAGACTTCTTGTGTATAAATTGTATTGATGTCAAAATGTATATATATCATAAGAAAATAGAGATTGTTCTCAAGGAGGCTGTCCAGATTAGTGCCATTATTTGTCATGTTTCTGATGACAATGTTTACTATTTGGCTCTAATTAAGCTGTCTAACAGTTCATTATTATATAAATATTCATGAATTATATGAATCTATACTGCATTAAGCATTATTGCAGATTATCAGCATTGAGTTGATGGCCTCGGTTCCCAAGGAGAAATTAGACTAAGTCAGCAATATGGTAAATCCTCTCAGATACACATTTTGTAACATTTAAATCATGTACAAAACAACAAATGTCGCAGTATTAGGCTGTCACCTACATTTTATGATAATATGGCTGCTCTGCATTATGGTTATGGAGATTGAGTGTCACGTTCAAAACAGTCCCCATAAACCTGCTATTCAATATCACAGACTTGCTGTTTAAGTTTGAATACTGTGTAGCAATACATAGTGATGTTTTCCTTGTGAGATGGAAATACGTTTGGATGGATTTTTCTTTGGTCTGCCTGGGCGAGTCTCTAAGCCTTGATGCTGTGCTGGAAAACAAAGCTCATTTTGAACAAATTAATGTTACAAAGAAATCCTTCATTCTATTAGCTAATTTGCTATCCTGTTTCATTTGAATAAGTACAGCTATCTAACATTTGTTAAAGAGACAGCTGTTTCTGGAGTAAATCCCCTAATTTGATCAGCTTAATTGCAATAGATTTTGTAAATATCAAGATTGAATGCAGCAACTTTGTCAGTTAGTACAAGAATGCTTTAAACTTAATCTAATAAAATTGCATAAGGGAACCTTTGCAAAGCCACTTACCCTGTAAAAGGCTTGCATACCCATTAGGCAAAAATTCCCTTAGACAGGAATAGATAGCAATTGATTGGGACTTCCTTGAAAATATGTGATCACTCCCCCTAATTTGTGATTTGGTGAAGTCATTGGGTGGTCTCCAAATGCTGTTTTGTCACTGGTCTCACTTGTCATTTGATCCTGGATTAGGCGGCCACTTTTTCTTCTGGATCCTAATAAGCCTCATCAAGAAGTCAATAATGTGGCCATTCTAGCCAAGAAAAACCCCAGTCCACTCTCCATGTAATGACTGTGAAGGGTGCAATCGTCATTTTGTTTCACATTTTGTGCATTTATTCAGCATTTTTAGATGGAAGATGATCTCTCCTCTTATTTAACAGTAAATCTCAAAGGATCATTTTTTGCTTTTTTTTTCTTCATTATTTACTGTATAAGTAAAACTTGAACTCAGTCTATGTATACATATTAAGCTGAGTTTTTGAAGGAAAAATTGTTTTCAGTTTTTTTTTTTTAGCAACCTGCCAAAAGTATGACGAAGCTCTTCTGCTTTTCTAACAGATCTCCGACATGTCTGAAGTGAGCAGCCAGCTGCCTGAAAATCCCATCTCTGCAGTCGGAGTAGTCTCTTCAGTCAGCAAGGTCCCTGAGAACTACTATGTTGTAAGTAGAGCTGTCCTGAGGATCAGTCTGTCATAGATCAATATTGGCTAAAATAAAGTCAATCATAATCTGGTACTCTTTTTTATTTATTTATTTATTTTTTCCTATGTTGTGTGTTGTCCACCTCTACTGATATGCTGCAAGACGCAATAACAGTCAGGCTCAACTCTACGGACAGAAAAATTGTTTGGTCTGGCTGATAAAGACTATTTTGACGTCCAAGTTGACAAAATATATCAAACTGCTTGACTTTTCAAGTCCATCATTTGTCCTCTCTGTTTCTCACTTAAAAGATTAGCATACAAAGCTTCAGAAGGCAACTTCTTTTTATAGCCAGCGCTGATTGTCACTTTTACTGCTTATAGTGACAAATGGGTTAGTAATTCCATGAGTAACTTGAGAGGAGGCCAAAATAAAACTTATGCATTGCTTAGTTTGCTTGCTCTCAATAGTCTGTATGCTGCCAAAGATTGTTTATGAGGTAAAATAAGCATCGCTCTGATACACTGAGGAGTACCAGACGTCCTCCCTGGTCAGTTTCCTGAGTTCCATTGTTTCAGGTAAACTTGCTTAAATGTTGTGAGTGATCTGTGTATAATATATATATATATATATACTTAAATGTTGTGAGTGATCTGTGTATAATATATATATATATATATACTGTACAACACAAATATTACATACATACAAACATTACCATTAAACATTTCAAACAAATATAAGCATTGTGTTAATTGTATTGGGACTAGGCCCAGTAAAGCTTGGTTGGGACATCGATAGTTGCATTTGTTTTGAACTGTAAGAGACTGCACATGTGTTTTGTAATACACTGTTTAATTTAATAGACTATTTAGAGATTCACTCTACACATTATATTTATCTTTTTAGAAAACACAGTTCATAAAAAATGTGGAATTTGTGTACTCTTATGAGACTGAAAATGTTTTTGGCAGCATTATGTTAGGGCCAGAATACAAATTGTCAATCACTAATGGGAGGTCTAATCTGACATCTAATAAAGGTTTTGTTTTTCCTCTCTGCTGTTGGCTGTACATGTAATTGTTTCGACTGTTTGTGTAGCATAATGGTAAGCCAGGATGCTGGCAGCCATCCAAGGTGTTTTTTGTTCGAACTGTTAGATGACTTATTCATAAAGTTTACTTTGATGATTAGGAGGACTCACTTTATTGGTTGCCACCAGTATTGTAGATACACCAGAGGCAAGGATTTAATGATGTTTGGTTGAAGCCCATATCATTTACCTTTGTCGCCATGTTTTCTTATATTCAAGTCTAACAACAACATCACCATTAAGACTAATATGTCAGGATGTGAAGTAGTGCAGGGTAGGCTGGTTAATGAGAACTTTTCGTAGTTGTAAATGAGTTGGAGGGAAAAGAAGAGAGGAGAGTCTCTAAGTTTAATAAAGCACAAAACAAGCTCAAGGGCAGATCTCTCTTCCTCTTGCTCTCTCTTCCTATTCAGACCTCTTTTGTTTTCACCCTACACCCACAAACCCTCCCTCATCCCCCGGTTTTTATCTCTTCCTGCTCCACCCTACACACCCAGCTTGTTCTAATCTCTGGCAGATGATTGTGGGTTGGCATCCGAAGGAGCCACTGGCAGGGAAACTGCGTACACACCACACGGTAGTGACAAACAGAGAGAAGCCCCATCAGACTTCCTCCTCTGCTGCTCCAGTGCACCAATACATTTCAGTTGATGTGCAAATACTGTGTAAGTTCTCGAGGGCAGTGCACCAGCAGTTTCAAATTTGGAAACAGTTCAGACTTACAGATTAATTTAGAAGAAGACAATGAAAGCACGGTCACAGTAGTAAAGATGAAACAATAAACTGTTACTGCAGTCTTTCTATTATATTTTTTGTGGACCATGATTTAAAATATTTACACTATTAAAACATGTATGTATGACCGTCTTATGAAAATGCAGTATTCCTTTCTTAATTAAATACTATTTTATTTAGCTTTAATTTTGCATACATATTATTTATTATATTATTATTTATTATTATTTTACAACAACAATGACATCACATAGATAGATAGATAGATAGATAGATAGATAGATAGATAGATAGATTATTGATATTTTGGTGTACTGCATGAAACAACAACAGCTACCTCTGGGGTAACGGTCTACACTGAAAAGTTTTGCTGAAGGTTTGAATTGGTTAAAGAGGCAGCCCTGCTAGTTTTTTTTTTTCTCACTGAATTAACATTTTAATGACAGTGCTCGCCCCTGTGCTTGCAAAACAATTCCCCCATCACTATTTTGAGCAGACATCATGACTGCATCCTGGACTTAGCACCATAAAAGACATCTGTGATCTTATCCATCCATTATCTATCCACCACTTTATTCTATAGAGGGTTTGGGGGTAGCTGGAGCCTGTCTCGGATGGACTTAGAATAAATACAAACAAGTCCATAGCAAATCGAGAAGGTGGCGCAGCCAGACCATTTTTGCGCAGCATTGTGTCAGCACGAGAGAATGGTTTGGCTATGAGAGAATATGTATGACGTACAGGTGGCAATGCTTCTTGTCAGGCTTACATGTTTATCCCTGTCATGGTAGGTGAGGATGCATGTTTGTAGAAAAACAGGGTTTCACTAAAGGTAGTTTAAAGCCTTTAACCAGCTTATATTTATACGAATATAATTCAGTCTGTGTTTGTTTTCTTTATAAAGTAAAATATAAAAGAAACTTCTTTCAAGGTAATAACATATCAAGCATAAAAAGTCAAGTGCAAGTCAGTCTCCAGAATAAAAATTCAAGGCCTTTCAGACTCTGAAGCACGATTTCAAATGTATTTGTCCCATCTTCAAGAACATCTTTTGAACATCACTATGTGGTCTTTCATCTGCAGACTTGAAATGCAAACAAAAATATCAACACTCTGTATCAGTGTACTAATGCACCGCTGAGGAGGGGAAGTCTCAGGATATTAAGCTGTATTGATTTTTCTTCCCTTTCATACTCGAAATCTTTTCAAATTCCTCCTTAATACTGACTTCTCACCATACTTACCGTACATTTTATATAGCAGATCAAAGGGCTGATTAACTCTTTTGCTCTCTGATACGGTGCGCTCACATCTCTGAACTTGAGCAGGTTGTTCCAACACAAGAGAGCACAGGCCCAGATCAAACACTGCTCCACTGGGATCAGGAGCTTTGCTGAAGCACCAGCAGCCACCCAACATCAAATACCATGAGCAGACTCTCACATGCTCTGTGCGAGGATTGCAAAAGGGATTTGCCAGCTAGCTGTTTCTCGCTGCTTTCAGCTAAACTAATTGCACCACGCTTAATGCACAGCTATGAGTTGTATAAATCTCCTCATCTGGATCTCAACAAGAAGGCAACTATATTTCCCGTAATCTTAAGCAATTATTTCACTTTTTTTCCTTTCAAAGTAACTGCAGCTTTAGTTCTTCAATATATATAGTCAGAAGTCAGTTTATTTTCAGTTAAAAGATAAGATCTGACACATTTCATCTTTTCAGCTTTTCTGTTCTTCTTTCAAGGGACTGTTTGATTCCCCGCATTTCTGTATTTCTTTTTCACCTGGTTTCACTCTGGAGAATTTAGATTGTATGCTTTTATATCTTTGTATTCACAATAATGCTGGTGGTGTCTGTCTCCAGAGATGCTTCACAGGAATATTCAGCACCCCCTGAAGACATGTTTCATAGGTGGGCTTTTAGATCACTGGAAGTCTAAGGTTTTGGAAAGTGGCAGTTAAATCGGTCATCGCATTTTGAATCAAATAATTCAACCATATTTCAATATCTGAGCTGTGATATCTCTTATCAGACATGTGACATTCTTCTCTCTGAAGCCCGTGTAATGATGGAGCCATGCAGTGGCACAGCTGAAAGTATAAGAGGAGAGCCAGCGCAACTTTACACATGCTTTTTCTGCCGTGGCTCAGCAGTTGGCGTTTCACATTCAAGCTGCGTCGCATCCTTGCTGCCGGCGGCTGTGGCAGGATGATGCCTGAGGTGCCTCCTAGGAGGACCGTGCCCTCGTTACTCCTCAACTTGACTTTGGGTTTCACAAAGCGAGCCCTTTGTTTACGCTGACAGGATGCGCTGGCTACTGACCTGGAAAAAGTGGCCAAGACGGGTTGTCTTGTAAGGAAGAGGGAGGCTGGTGATGTATAGGCTCCTTCTGGGACCTTTCATGGAACTGCTGTTGGAGACGCCCCGCAATCCCTCTCTCTGCTCATCTTCTCCCCTTTCTCTCTCTCTCATCCTACTATCTGTCTCTGTTCCCCACTCTAGTCTCCGCGCGCATCCCATCTAGTCAGTCGTGGTTTTGCATGAATCTCCCCATGCCATGTTTCCCCCACCCAGTCACTGGGGTCATTCATCATTATTGTCAAGGGGGTAATGTGTGTGGGTGGGTGCAGAGATCTATGACTTCTTCATTTGAATGAACCTCATTAGATTGACTCTTCTTTGTAAAGGATCCCTTTAGAAAATAAGTCTGGCAGTTATTTAGGTGATTCTCACATGATAGCCAATGGAACATGACGTTTCAGCCAAGCATGTTTGCTCGAACGATGGAAGAGTCTCTGTGATGCAGTCTGCAGGTTCTATTTTGCTTTATCATTCTGCCCTGCGTACCTACATTTACATAGCAATGTAGTGTAGGACCTTGAGCTTGACTTGTGGTGCCCACATGCCGTCAATATGATGCAATCTATTTTTTTTACTGACTCTACTGCTCATTTACAACCATGAATGAGCCTATAGTACAAGGGCGAGCTGCTCAAGTCTTTGGATTTAGACTTTGCTTGAAATTCACTGTAATTTATTCTTAGAAAACTTGTCTCCTTAAATAATACAAGTAAAGCTATCCATGGTGTGTTTGTGTACTCAGTTTACCTGTGTCTTGTGCAAGCAATATAACATAAGGTTATTAAAAAAATAAAAACAAATAAAATGCATTCTGCATTTACCCTAAATATAATCCCTGCTTTCCCATAGACACACATTGAAGTTTGGTTTCCTTATTAGAGCAGATCCTTGTCAGGGCATCTTTAATCAGCCCAGTCCCAAGGGATGATATTTTTAGCCACCTTTTTGGAGGCTAAGACTCCTTTACCCACGCAGAGCACTAATGAGATGGAGCACTAGTGTAGGCAAGCGTTAATTAAGGCTAGTATGCAAAGGAAGAGGCAAAAGCAGCACGCTCATGGCATACATACATTAACTTTATCCCACCTCCTGCATGTTTTTTTTTTCTTCTCCTTGTTTTTTTCTCTCTTTTTTTTCACGTAGGTTGCACAAACAACAGATGGCTCTGACGCCGACCTGTGGAAGGACGGCTTATTCAAATCCAAGGTCACCCGCTACCTCTGTTTCACCAGAAAAACTGTAAGCATGAATGTAAACTTCTCCCTTTCCCTATGCATTGTGCATGAACACCTTATCTGCAGCACCTTTTTTTTTTTTTTTAGTTTGCCAGTGGTTATTAACTCGCTTCCCTGCCCCCGGAATATCTTAATGCACTTTGCACTTTGATCAGTGGAAGTCCCACTTAAAAAGGCCAGCATTGGCAGAGCAGTTTTGAAGTTTTACATATAATGGATTTGCATGCATATTCCAGATGAATAATACCTCGGAGAAATATTTTTCATGTTGTAAGCCCTCCTGAGGATATTATTTATGTTTATTCATGAAATAACAATGAGCTGTATTTTAACAATTCCAATTTATTCAATCAACAGCGTCCCTGTAGAGAAAATGGTTACAACCAGTGATTCTTGAAAGCTGATGCACATATAACTTTTGAATATGAAAATACTCCTTTTTTATGTCAAGAATTACTCTACATAAAGCGCTGTCAGTATGGGTGTGCTATGAATAGAGCTCCCAATTTGAGCAGCCGTTACTCCTCTGTGGCTGAAATGATCTTTGCATTATATTTCTCATAATGCTGTTGGGTCATTTTTAGACTCCTGTCCTGCCTGCAGCCTACAGCTGAGGTGTTTTTGCTTGGCTGTCAGCTGCTCTATGGCCATAAATACACCTGCTTACATTGCCAGGATTATCAACCTGTCTAACCTCAGCTCATACAGCTTACTTGGCTGTCTATTAATTAAGTTTCCCTGGGTTGCAGGTGGATAATGCAGACAGTATTGTAAACAAAACCTGCATTTTTGTTATTACTTTGCATCAGTTCAATTTTAGGACTTAATCAAGTCATTTTTTTTCAGTATGTCCTCTAAAAGGCAGGCAACTTGGCAGCGGCCGCCTCATGTCTGAGCTCAATCTGGCTCTCAGTTTAGTATATAGCATACAAATAGCCTTTCCCTAGTTCCTGTATATTATCTTAAAATGTGTGTCCACATTGTTTTAAAGACTTTGACACAAATAAAACATGACGGAGCCATCAACAAAGGCTATTTTGTCTGCCAGTCAATGGAGCTCCCACTGTAATTGTCTATGACAAAAACAGATTCTGTAAAATTAGCCCCTGAATTATGTGGGGGGAAGTAAATAGTTTGTGATTTATCATACTCTAGGTTGAAGGTAGATAGCCCCTTTTGTCAGGTCGTGATGGAAAAAATCTCTCCAGAAAAAGGGGGAAAACACTAAAAAAGGTTTCATGCATAGTAATAACATTCATCCATATTCCTCCTTACGTCAGTATAAAAACTATGAATAAAAAATGCCTCTAATGGTAATGACTGTCGGGCAACAGTAGCAGTGGAATCCAGGCTTTTCGGACGCATCAAGTCACGCCTGGCTCGCCCCACTCTCTACTGCCGCTGTGTATTATTGCAATTTATTATGGCAAAAAATGAAAATGTAATGGGAGGCAGGGAAGAGTCATGCTTGAAAATGTCAACTACACAGTCCCTGATTATTTTTAACTAGTCCCATTCTGTTGATCAGACTGCCTGCTCTGTCTCCCATCATCCCCCAGCTTCTCGCCAAAAGGTTGAGAATGATTACAAGTTCACAGTTGCATTCTCTCACTCCAAAAAAAAGCTATTAGAGAGTAATTACTTGAGCTACTTTGTCAACCATTCTCTTTAGAGACTTCCTGAGCTTTTAGTAAATCACTGACTCTATTATCTCTACATTTTCTTCCCTGAGCCCTCCAAAAATGACTAACCTTTTCATATTCTTGCTCTCTGTCCTTTTAAAAGTTGAATTTGCATACTTGATTTTAAATTTCCAGCCTTTGCTCTATCTTTCAGGGGCCTGACGTCGTTGTGGACATGAAACTGACTGACATTAAGGACCCGTTGCCAGAGTCCTTCATACCTGTGCAAGAAACAATAGACACAAGTAAGTAAACAGTCAATACCGACCACAGACTCGCTCCCCTCCTCTTCCTGTTTTTTTTTTTTTTTTCCCCACTCTCCGACCAGCTTATGCGGAGGTCCTCAGGGGCAGCTTTGCTTGAGATAGTGAATGTTTTATGGGTGCAGGTTAGCTTAATTTATGGCAGACTGTGGGAATAAAATAAACATTTTGCCCTGGAGGTACAAGAGAAGAGAATCATGAGTCATTGTTTATCTCAGCTGGAGCTGTGCTTTTCTTTATGAGGGGCTTATTTATTTATGTATTTATTTGGGGAGAGGACGAGTGGATGGGGGTTATCTAATATTAATGAAATGCATTCCCCAATGCTTTAGTGCTTTTTGAGTGCTACGTATTTCCCCCTCACTATCCATGCCTTGGAAATGTAATAATATTTTGGTGTGGGGAGTGAGGACAGCTTGTTTATTATTTTTATTATCATTGCATTTACACTGCACTTTCTAGTGTTGCTGGGGAAATAAATGAGCAAGGCACAGATGCAATATAGGAAAGCATTGCAATGCTTTTTTTTTTTTTTTTTTGCCAGAATGAAGAAAAGAGATTATGTTTTGTTTGGCTATGTTGTAATTTAATGTTTTATTACTTTATGTGAATCCATGTTTAATGTATACATGTGACATTATGTATGACTTTCTATCTAGAATATCGAGTTTAAATCCCTGCTGTGCACTAAAGCTGATGGAGGATTCACTTCCTTCTGTCATTTTACCTACTAAAATGATAAAAATGATAATAATGCATGTGAATTTTGTGGCTTTCCAGTGTCCAGTCATTTCCCTTTGAGCACAGCAATTCACCCAGCAACTGATATTAGCTCATCTCTTATTCTGGGACTGGTAATGACTAAATAGCCAAGTGTAAGTGGGATTAGTGAATACATATTTCTCCGAGAGGTTCAAAATGCCTATAGGTTTTTTTAGCCCGGATCTCGGAGACAGAGCGGAATATGCAACCACCAATTCCTTTCTGACACGCTCATATGTACTTGACTCATCAGAGGAAGCTGCCATGAGGAAGAGGAGGCTCTGTGTGAAAATGAGCCCCCGTGAGGCTGCCGAGACAGCCATATATGACATCCAGATCGTAGCGAAGTCCAAGTACCATCTTGTTAACTACACCTGTATGGGGTGAGCTGTTTGACACTGAGAATCAATGAAATCAGGGTGTTTTGTAACTTGTATCAGTCACCAGATTTTTGAGATTTTTTACAATATGAATCATTTTGTCATTTGCAGGAAGACTTATTATCCTGCTGTTTAAAAAATTGTGAAACACCTGTATGTGTCCTTTTACCTTTACACAGTGAGATGAACAATATGGGAATATGGTATCGGATGGGAAATGTTTCTCAGCATCAGTCGTCCGAGAAAACTTCCAGCTCAGTGCAAAGTGACGCCCTGCCCAACACAGCAAGGTAACGTTACGCTACAATATTCAGCAGCACAACTTGCAGTTCAACTTTCCTCTTTTGCTTTCCTTTTTATTTCACGCTCAATGTACTCGCAAGCTTTTGTTACGCTTCTGCACCATATGTACGACAATGAAGACACAAGCAATTGATCACTCCCGGGCAATCTGCCGTAAAGGTTGTGGCTGGACAACAAAGTAGCGAGGGTGAACTGGAGAGACAGGCTAACTAGACAGGATCCCCTGAACAAGAACATGAGTTCAATGAGGGCTAAACTCCTGCTATTTGTGGTGTGTCCCAGGAGGCAGAGGCAGGTCGCTCCTCTGACTGTGGTGACAGGAGTGTTGTACTGTGCAGACAAAGAGGAGGAGATGTAGCCCGGAGAGGGAGCGACAGCTGCAGAGGAAGGGAGGAGAGCTCCCAAGATCTCCGCCATACTGGAATGTGTGTGTCCCCTCCTCTGCTCATGCTGCTCCGGCTTCCTCCGCCTCAGGCCTCAGAGTGAATGGAGCAAACCTTTGTACTGTGTCCAGATCAAACAGCTCAATTATTTATCACAATGAAGAGCTGGGGATTTCCACAGCAAATTGTAAATAAACAATTGAGACTCCTTCGGTGTGGTGCCGCTATGGAGAGGGAAGCTTGGCACTGGGCTCTGATGTCTTTGCCAGCTTGAAGTGCTATGTTCTGCCATCCTGTGCTGGGCTGAGTAAAAGCCACTTAAAAGCCACAACAGGCCAGAGCGGTGGATGCCAGCAGGCATATTCATAACAGAGCTTCTGTTCACATGGCCACGCAGTGCGATGAAAACAATAAAATGGACAGCTGGGGATTCAAAACCCAAGTTCAAACTGCGTTGAGTTTTGTGAATCGTCCATATTTTGGAAGTCGATGGTCAATAATCTTTGATGTGTTGAAGTTATGGCGAGAGCTCAGGCCCATGTGCGCCTTCACAACTCTTGCCGGTAATCCTCAGTTCTTTTGAAGCCCACTTTCAAGTTGGTGAGGCTCAGAGGTTGGAATAAATTGCACCTCGAAGCGACTCACACCCCCCTCCTGATGCCTGCTGAGATCACAGGCTGCTGTTTTTGTATTAACATTAAAATTCATTCCACAGTCAGAGTCTTCTTTTGAGAGTATTTCCATCCGTAATGCACTGACACATAAGGACGGGACTGTGGGCAATTTATACAGTGGCAGTTCTTTGACTATTTATTTCTGTGTAGTTACATGCACTTCAGACAGCCATACATATCGCTATAAATAGTTCTGTAATTTCTTTAAAGTCACAGATTAGATAGTTTGACACAGTGATTTATAAACAGCTCCTCAACCCTCACTGATTCCTTGGGTAAGTACAGTACCACAGTGTAACAGTCTGTGTAGTATCACACCACTATACTTTATTCATATTCAGCAGGAGAAAATTCTCTCCTCCATGCCTCCTTCGGGCTATCTATAACAACTTTATGGCCTTTGGAGAATAGCACCTCTTAAATTTAAGTGCTCTTTACAGTCAGTGGAAAAGATGTTTTAAATACAGTCAATAATGTGTAAATTTTTAATGACCCTTATAATTTTGAAAGCTGCAGTGATCCCTCTCAAATGTTAAGTTGCCCCAGGCTGTGAGAGCTTGTTAGAGTTGTGTACAAACGTAAACCGCAAATCAGATTTTTCAGCAGCACAGGGCTGCAGTACACACTAACCGCAGCGTGTTGCATCATTACGAGATGCGCATAGTTATTGCATCAAGGCTAAGGTGTTAGATGTTAACTGTTTTTGTATTTATTTTTTTGTCGTCAGCTAAACACATGACATCTACAAATCTTTAGAAGTTTTAAATTCTGTTTCTTCCATAAGAGAAGGGCTGGAAGAAAATGGAAATTCTATTTGCAAAAGTCTTAAATACTTTTTCTTGACTGTCAGGAGATATAAACTATAAACTTAAAGGGATTTGTTTGAGGGAGTTGCACAGTGTACTAAGCACTCACACGATTGCTAGGCACAATTACTGGCTAGCTCATTGATTTATTATAGTCAAATGAGGAGTTGCAAAAACTGGAACTTCAAAGAATTTTGTCTGCAATGTCCGATTATTGGCAATCCTTCCTTATGCAGTATTTACCTGGAGATGTAGAGTAAAATATGGTACATTATTGGGTACTTAACGTAGGTAATTATTCAGTAAATACAGAGAAACGGAAATCCTAAGAAAAGACTCCAGTGTTACCATTCAACTCTGCTAAGTACCATGTATTTGTGAGAAGTTCAGGTTAGTAATAAAACAAATATTGTTTCATACTTATGTATCTCCACCGTCCATCAGTTCATGTTGCAGTTGTCATTTATGTTGGTTTATGTCAATACCAGGAAAGCTTAATTATGTAGAATCTAGAAGTTAAATACTTAGTAATTAGATGAATGTGAACAGAAGGATTGCCTGATTATTTCCTTTATTAATCAGTCATTCATTTAGTTTATGAAATGTCAAAAAGTAGTGCAAAATGGTACATGATGCTTTCAAATTGCTTATTTTGTAAAACAGGACCAAACTCCCAATATTTCATTTACTATCATAAATGACAAAGAACACATTTCCAAAGCAAACAAAAGTGGCTGAAATGACTAATTGGATATCAATAGTTGGCAATTATGTTTATTTCATTGGACTTATTGTTGGGCAGCTCTTGAAAAAAAGTACCATTTTAACAGTTTTATCCATTTGTCAGTTATTTGCCACTTTTCCAGATCCTGGTGGCAATAATTAAGTTCATTATGTTATGAAGGAATTGTTGTTATTTACAATTCTGAAGTAGTAAAAAGATGTTACAAGACTTGATTTTCTGTCTTACTTGGTGCATTTGGTTGTATTATCATAAACCAGATTTTAAATAACTTTCTGTATTTAAAATAAAAGGAGGTTTTTAAAAAGTCTTTTGTTTTAACTTGATAAATCCTGCAGAAAACCTGTTCAAAGAATTGTTAGGAGTTAATTAAAGAATTATTTTCCCCATGAAGGTAACTTTATTAGTTCAAGTAAGATCAAGGATAAACACTAAAACTGAAATTGTTATTTCTTACTGGCTCAGGCTGTTACACCATATTGAGCCACTAAAACTCTTCGGGTAGAGGCCTGTTGGGCCGTCTGCTGTGCAAACGCATTTAAACCTTGTGTGTTTAACGTCTTTTTATCAAGTTTGTCGAAAGCATTTCAAAAAACGACGGTGTTCTGTTTTGATTCATAGCCACAGCTTGATGTCAACCGCGTTGGCTTGTTCTCTGTCAAGACAGACCGTATCAGCCACTCCCCGACTTTATAATGTAAAAACCTGCACCATCCGGTCAGCCTTTTAATGTGTCCAGTAAAGTATCTCCCTCCTTCGTTCTCCTGACCAACGCTGCCATTTGTTCTCCTGATAAAACTGTCATTGCTGAGGCTGATATCTGACCTCTACAGTGACTGCTAGCATAAATTAGCCTTGTCCTAATATTGCAATTTCTTTCCCCTCACTCAGAATCAAGGTTTTTGACATTTCTCTTAGAATAATAGGCTATTGTACACACGGACACTTTTTAAATCAAACTGTACAGTGATAAAAATGTCAAGGCCAAGTGTCTTTTTCATTGCATGCCTGACTTTTCCTTTTAACACACAAAGCCTAGAGAGTCATCAGTGTCAGAATTGACATGCATATCAATACGCTTTGGATTGCACAGTTTTCTACCTGTGACACTCCACACATTGCTGCAGCTCTGCAGGAGTATTGTTTCAGCTTTCGTTGCATGCTGGTTAACCAAGACTTCCCACTGCACACGACTCTTGAGAGAAAGGGACACCGTGACTGTCAGTGCGTCGCATGACAGATCTCCTGTCTGAAGTGTTGAAGAACAAATCCTTCCCAGCTCAATCTCACTCATTACTTTGTTATGTTCAGAAAAGTTGCAAAAAGTAGCGGAGATCAAGCAAACAGATGCAGAGCGCTGTCAGGAATGATCGAATGATCAGCCAAGATCTGATGGGCGCAGACTATTCAGTGATTTGCCACCAAATTCAGAGAGATCCTCTTTTCAACACCTGACACTGAGCTTAAAGGAGGATAATGATGGGTGAGAAAGCAGCTCCCACAAAGCAGCACTGTTGGCGCATAGAGGAAGGTGTGGAGATGTTGTCACGGGAAAGGCTGGATGTGTGTCAAAACAAGAGCTTCCAGCTCTCTGTATCGCAGCTCTGGCTCTTCAGTCAGTGATATTACTCTCATTCTCATCTTACCTCTCCACTGAGTACCGCTTGTCTGTCCCCACTGTCTCTCCCACTTTCTCTTCTCCTCCTTTTTTTTTTTTTTTTTAGTAGACAACTCTTTTCCTTATTCCATGTGGAACAACAAAAAAAGAACTCCACACAAAAAAAATCAGCTGAATTGTAATTCAAGATGTCAAGTAATCCTCTGTGTTGTGGTTTGCTTTGCTACACTAATATGATTTTAACTCGGGCAGATTTCAGGGGAACATAATACTCTTGATCCACGTTGTAATTGCGTAAATCTTTCAGGCCGTGTTCCCAGTTTTACTATAATTTGATGAGGAACTACACTATAATTGAATATTCAAATTAGGAATATGTGTCAATATGGCTCTCCTTGCCTGAAATGAGGATTAATTGTTGTCAAAACTCCAGTGGCCGACATAATATGAGCCCCAACGCTGCTGTTGATTAGCAAATGCACTTGCCATGTTTTTGTTTTAAGAATTAGTTGTCTAATTGATTTGCCATATGTTACCCTCTCCAATGCACCTAAAATTGTATTTAGAAATCACCAATTTGGATTGAGACAGTTTTGCGTTTTTCAAACAGATGGGAAAAGCAGCCCTGGATGTTGCCTGTAGAAAAATATTTCATGAACATATTTTCTAGTTCCACGCCGAGTTTTGGGTATGTCAAGTCCCGCTTTCACATTTTCAGATCCATAAATAGCCAGATTTAATTCTGTTTTCTTTGTTTCTTCTGGTTGCTAATGTAGCAACACAAACAAAGACGCCTTTAAAGACATTTAAACCGTTTTCATTCACTTTATCAGTCCGTGGGATGTCTCTGCGCTTTGAAAGATGTGTACCTTTCCTCCTCAGCAGTGGAATCAACCTTTGCAAGGTAAAAGAAGTCCGCGTTGAATATGGCAATCGTTCCCACAAGATTGATGCCAACCTTTTAAAAATTCACCATTGGCCTGGATTTAACATGGCCAAATGCTGATGTAAATGAGGAGGAGAAAAGTCGACCCTTTCATTGCAAATAAATCTGAGTTGCAGGCTTCAGCTCATAAATACCACAGCCTGTCACAAGTCTTGTTTTATTGCTCTTGATGGAAATTATTGCATTTATTTATCTCATCCGAAGAGATAAGGCTTTGAAAGTCACAACTCACGCGCAGCACCTTCAGAATATGCAGATCAGCCCTTAGTCTTAAATTTGAGATTTTTTTGATTTTACACCCGCTGCAAGGGAAGATTGATTATGTTTATCCATAAATACACAAAATACAAAACATGATACACAAAACACACTTCATTATTTGCAACTTCACACCTGCTCACACCCAGAAAATGTGTCCTGTCTTTGTTCCAATTCAGCACTGAGATGCTGCTTCCTCTGTATGCTGCTTGTCTTGTACTTGGTATTTAAGAACAAACTCCTATATCTGCTTGTCCTCTAATCAAAGCAGTCCCCCCTTTTTAACAATATCGTCAACTACTTTGCATTATCATTATAAGATCATTTGTTTTATAATGCCATCTCGGAGCTCATTTTACCTTCAAAGCATGTCATGTTATGCAGCGCTCTTGAAGCTGTGAATTTTTTTTCTCCTGCTTGCTGTGGATTTATCGATCCGTAGGGGTGAGTCACAGGGTGTAATTCATGATAGCTTGATTGATGAGGATTTCAATCTTATATGGTTTGTTAACTTCAACTGCCCACAAAGTGCATTCTGTGCTGTTTTCTGTAATACAAGGCCATGAAACAGTAAAAAAAAAACAGACTTTCCTTGAATAATGGAATCTCTCAGTTCCCCCAGAATTAACAAGATCCTGCTCCAAACCCCTGGTAAAGGTCTGCTCGAGCCCCTGTGCAGCTAAGGCACAGCTCAACTTCTACCATATTTCTCCTCTTCGGCCTGTTATTTCAGTGCTCTGCTTTTGCTTTTAGCAGTTCAGGGAGCCTTTGTGTTAAGGGAGATGGAGTCGATGCTTTTAATACTTAAAAAAAAAAAATCTAATTCAAATTTTATTTTAGTTTCTTAGGCATGTCTCTAAGAGCACAAGTGTTCTTCTGAATACAAAGTTTCTATGCATTTTGTATTTTTTATAACACGGCTGTTAATGTAATCGTATTGATCAACTGACTGAATATTGTTGCTTTTTTATGTTGGCAGGAGAACCATGAGCAGGCCAGACTGTGAGAAACAGAGCAGTGGGATCTACACAATTTCAGGTAAAAGGTTTCACACTAACGTATGCAAGTCAGTACTATTTATGATAATGTGTAGATGACTATAGACAATTAAATTAATTTGATAGTATTCCCAGACTGCATTAGGTTGTTAAACTGCAGTTATATCTTTTAGAAAAAGCTGCATTTAGGAGGAAAAAGTTCATTACTTGTACAAATTCTTTCTACGTTGCCCGGTTTCCACCTATGCGTAAATGTAAAGAGCTCCTCTGGTACTTGATCTACAAATGCTCTACGCCGAGATGTTCTCACTGATGGATACTGTACAGAGCTTTGCTTATCTCAGTGAACGTGACTTCCCAGAGGAGCTCGGCATTACACTCAAGAGAACATTTAACAGCTGTCAGAGATGATCCATCACATGCCATACTTACATGTGTACCTTGCATGCACTGGACGAATTCCATTCTCTTTTTCAAGGAGAAACTCAACAACAGTACAATGCCCCATAACTAAAACAGGGAAGAGGAAGGAAAAAAAAAAGAAAAAAAAAAAAGACTAATTCGTTAGGAAACAGAGCTTAGCTATGACAGCCTCAGCGCCACAGAGTCAGAGCCGGCTGAGACGCTCTAGCCTTAAAGAGTGTGTGAGGCACACGAGGTGAACGAGGCAGGCAGGTTTTTATCCAGCTGGAGAGAGACACCATGTGGTGAGGATTCCTCCTGCTGCTCCAGCAGAGGCACACCCTGCCTATGTTACTCTCAGCTTATTTAATACAAGTCTGGTGTTAAATAATCTCTGAAATTAAATGTACAGTGCTTGAAATTAAACTTTTTTGAATCCTTAAATCTATTTGAAATGTAATGTCTGAATTTATGTGTACGGTTTAAAAAAAAGAAAAAGAAGAAACGAAAGAGGGAAAAAGCACTGTGTAATTTACAAAATTGCACACTGATTAATACATCTTTGTCTTGGTGTGACAGTCATTTTATAAGTTAGTCAGGACAAGTAAGGCCCTGAAGGAGCAGACATTAACACACAGCTGAACGGTTTGTGGCATTTGGTGTGGGATTCCTCCACTGGGACGGCGTTTGAGTGACAGTGAAGAACATGCACATACTGTACAGAGCGCTGCCAGCAGTCATCATTTATCTCCAGAAAACTGTCCTTTGCAGATGCACAGACTCCCTCTTTCTCCCCCCTTCATGAGTCGGGGAGGTTTTAAAGAAAAGCGGATAATGGAGTTAGCCTGAGATGGTTCTTGCTTTATTACTTGAGACTGTGTACTCGTCAGCCTTACAGCATCACACTGTGCATGTGAGAGAACGCAACTTCCCTTCATTAACAACGTGATAGCCTGCAGACCAAGTGTGAGGTCGTAGCCGACAGCCTATTTGTGTTAATTGTTAGCATGGTGATAGCGCTGGTGTGTGTGTGCGTCGGTGCATGGGTGCCGGAGTGTGCACGGGTGTGTGTGTGTGGGCTGACAGCTGGCCAGGTTCGAGTTGGTCTAAAACCATGTGCGCTCTGTCAGGGTTGTACAGGCGCCTTCTTTAGGATTGATGAATTGCCTGCTTTCTTGATTAAACCCTCCGTCACTTCCCAACAAAACAAAAACCCCAACACAAAAAAAAAAAAAAGGCGAGTTGAGGGGAGGAGAGGTAACATGTCTGGCAAATCTGTCATCTGCAGTCACATCATGTACAGATGTGATGTGCAGAGGCTTTGACATTTATTTCCAGAATATTAAAAACTAATTCACATTTATTTTGCAGCTCTCTTTCGCTTGACAGTTCAAGCTCATTTGAAAAGTTATCAAGTTTTCATAGCAGCTCCAACCTTTTGCTTTTCTTCACCAGCGTTGCTTTGATCCATGCCAAGTCCCTTTGCCAATTAGGTCTATTATTCATACGTTGACAGAAAATCTGGATATTTTAAAGGTAATTATGCGTGCATTCAAGAAGTCTGTCTAAAAAGCATATGTTAGATAAAAAATAAATGTAAATTGTTGGAAAGAAATCTAAAATAAAACCGTGACGTCTGTTGCGTCGCTGTCTCTCCTCATTACCTGCAGAACAACATATAGTATTCAGCAGACATCCACCTGATAAAAAAAGGTAAATGTAATAAAAAGTAATACATTTACATATCTATAGAATTAATCAAAAATAAATCCTGACATTGGCCCTGATCTAACATAATATGGAGAGCAATTATTTCCCTATCCATTAGAGGAACTTCAATTAACAGACACGAGACAGTTCATCCTTCAGAGGAGGAGGAGGAGGGAAAAAAATAGGAGACTCAAAATTAACTTGGGTTTGCAAAATATCTTGGCAGGATGACAGTGATTTTTGATTTTCATGAAACAATATTAGAATTCTTATTAAACTATGTGCATCTGCTTTTAATTTGCTGCAAATAATTGGAAAATGCAATGGAGCTTTCCAATTAAAGCTCCACTTTATGCTGTTTAATAATACCCTCATAATATTATAGCTTATGAAATGACAGGTGAGTTGGTGTATGAATAAAACATAAAGCCCTGTAATAAGAGACAGAAAAAAAAAAAAAAACCGAGACAGTTGTTGGGGGGCTTTTAAATGCTCGACATAATTTGCATATATTAATCTCCTCTTTTCAGCCTTATCAAGTATTCCACTGTATTTGAAGTTAAAATAGTCGTGACAGGCAGGGGTACGCTTCGTTTTTCCAAGGATTTATTACTTGTATAATTCTGGATCTTTAATAAGCCAATATGACTGATCCTCTGAGTTCTGTGGAATTTGGTTAATTGTTCCAGATGGTGCTCACTGATTATGCAAAATTACTTTCTTTCTCCTCTTTTTCCCCCAACTACACCATTTCTTGATTGACTAACATGGAGAAAAAAGATTATTTTTGGCGCAGCACTTTCATTAAGAGGGTTCTCATCAGGTTTCAAACAAAAGTTCCATCTTATCTCCCTGTGTAGTTCTGGGCGAGGCTGTGCAGAGGGAGGAGATCAGCCGGCTCTTATCTCAAACCATGATGGATCTCAACTGCTTCTGCACCGCTGGGGTTATATTTTAGAATAACACAATTCTTTAGGCTGAGGGATTAAAAAACACAACCTCTGGATAGTGACACAAAAGTTATTATTAGTGTACGCCGTTCTCTTCTTTCTCCCCTTCTTTCTCTCTCAGAGATTGATGAAATTACTAAGCAGCGGGGTTTGTCCTCCACTTGCAGCTCGAGCTCCATCCACAACTCACTAACATTCTGTTTTGCATCAGCTAAACTGAGCTGAATGAATCATTTATGGAAGTGTTATGGGGGAGGTATGGGCAGATTTACTGCCGCGCTTTTACTTTAGATGGAATGGGATTTCTATGAAACCGATCTTGATGTCTGAAGTAATGCCAAAGCTTACATCAAGACATGAAAGGAACGCTCTTAAAACCCACGTTTTGCTTCTTAATTCCCCTGGTCAGCAAAAGGCGAAACAGAGAGCGAGGGAGAGAGAGAGCGTGGTTCAGAGGGAGAATAGTATTTACACCTAATGCACACACACACACACACACACACACACACACACACATACATTCTCAAACTACTCCCAGGAGCTAATGATATAAAGGAGTGCTGAATTCTGTAATAATAAATCTGTGGCTTTTAAATTACTCAGTGTTTAAATTTGCTTTAATTTTGTGTTAAGTCTGAGACATTTGTGCATTTTCCATATTGACATATCAGAGTAGTTCTACATTTTGGAGCAAAATCTGCTGAACTGAAGTAAAACACTGGCCAACAATCACACCGACCTGATATGGGCATCGTCGGTGCTAAAGGTGCAACAAATACCAAAAGTAAGCAAGACAAGAGAAAGAGTTTGAAGAATTATTTTCACTGTCTGAATGTAATTCTCTCTACTTTCTCTAGATCGTAAACTTGGCAGCTCAAACGATTTATTTTCCTTTTATAGAATGCAGTTTGTTATGTATATATTTTAAAATAAGCCTGCATAGTATTTCTTGTGGTTTTTGTGTGATTCTGGACGTTGCTATTGTGTATTTTCAATAACAATAATACCAAAGTCAAGTGTATTAAAGTACAGCTTTTTATTTTTGCGAGGAGTTTATATCTCAGTGTCATAAAACATATTTGGATTCTAACAGGTATGACACCATTCAAGGAAATCTGTTTTGACTGGTATTCAATTTCCATGTCAAAAAATCCTATTGGACTATCCAGGTTTGGTAGCAAAACATGATCGATCCCTGTGTGATGGTGCCATTTAGTATTTGAGGATCAATCCTGTATAAATCCTAATGGAATTTTTGACTGGAGCCTGGAGGCCCTCAGGCATTTTTGGACCTTTATTACAGTCAAATAAGAGACTTTAAATGGCTTTGCATTTGCAGGCCAGACTGGACTCTGGAGTCTCATCCCTCATTGCTTTCTATCCATCCCTGAGATAGAAGCAGTGCTCCATTAGTTTCAGTGTCCAGACGTGGACAGCCTCAATGGATGGGCCTGTCACGGCTCCCTCATTTGCCCCATGTACAGCAGGGTTTGTTATCACACATCTAATTAGAACTTGATAAAAAATATTTCACAAAAATCCAGTCATTAAATATAGTTTAAGGAGATTTATGGTCAAATATGCCTTAAAGATCTTTTAATGGGTCTGCTGACTTGTTAAGTTTGTAATTAATGATCTTCTAATACATACTGTGGTGTGATTTAGAAAGCACAATGAGATTCTGGGAATGAAGTCGTTTTGGAAAAGGGCATCTGGGGCTCCCAGAAGCTATATTAAATAGTTCTGCTCAGACTGGTTTGCTTAGAACCATGAAGTCTGCTGTAAAAAAGTTCAAACACATCAGTGTCTTTACACATAACCCACATTTTTATGCTGGGGTGTAGGGAATGGTGCGATTATGAAACAGTTGCTTTGTCATTTCATAATTGTCAATTAGTGTGTACAGAAAAGTTGCATGCTCCTCGGCAGCAGCACTTGAATGTTTAAAGTGCATCGTAGAACAGTTTCATATGGAGAA